GATCATGATACAAAGAGATAATGTTTTTTGTTTTTTAATTTGTTTTTTGTCTTTGTTGCAGTGCCCTGCAGAGTCCTGGGATGTCGTGCATTGCTTTCATTTTTTGTACATTTGCAAATCTTCTCGGATAAATGCACAATCTTTAAAACCCCAAACTGTTAGCAGAATGTGATGTGGCACTATGTGGTGCCTAAAAACCCAGGGAGCCATAAATATATTTATTACGGGCCTAGTAAATGAGGAAGGAGAAATCGTTATAAATGCGCTTTCCTTGGGGAATAAATTATGGCACAGTGAGACAACGTCCCTACAAAGTCACACCTCTGAAATAAGCATGGAGCTGCCAGATGAGGTTTGTGTGGTTTTTTATTGCTTTTTTTTTTTTTAGCTCATGTGCATTTGTAATTTTGTGCATGGACTGTGTTGTGATGCATTTTGGGACCAGTTTAAACAACAACTTCTCTTGTATTATTTCTGTGCTGAGGGATGGTCAGAGCTTCACTCTGAACCACATTTAAGGCAGAAATGATGCGGTGTGGGACGACCTGTCAAAGATGCTGGGTATCATCCTTTAAAGCTTTTGACACATCTTAAGCTAAACCTCAGTGAGACTTTCCTTCAGCAACACTTAGATATCCTGCTGATACACTGCACTTCTTTAGCTCTGACAGGCTGTGTGATTATGTAAATGTCTGTGGTTCAGTTGGCACACACTGCACCTTTGTGACACTCTGTGTGTGTATAGAATAGAAATAGTGAATACCACCAGATTTACAGGTGTACATAGAACCAGTTTATTGATTAAGATGGGGAATGCAGAAGGGGTTATGGAACCACTTGACCTCGTACTCCCTGCACTGGTTATCAATATCAGTGGCAAATATTGATCATTTTCAGGCAATTCAGCTTAATTGAAGAAAGCTTTTTTATTCCTTTTTCCTGTGAATTGTCAGAGGAAAACATAAATGATGGGGAAGGAATTTCTTGAGGGGGAGTAATAACTGATTGGCAGGGGGAATGTGTGAAAAAACTGCACTTCCTGTATGTTCTTCAATCACTGTAATGGGATCAGTGGGTGGTTTAAAGTTATTACTTTGCAGATTTATTGTACCTGTGGCACCTAAGATTGAGGTTATATCAGCCTCTTTATACTTTGTACAGTCATTATATATATATATATATATTATTAATATAATAATATATATATATATATAATATATATGACAGCAACATCATGAAGAAGAAACACGAGAAGCTGGAGAAGTGCCAAGGGCTAAGAGAAGCGCTCAAAAATATGTGGAAGGTAAAGGTAACAGTGGTCCCAGTGGTAATCCCAAGCTAGCTATATATATAGATATACATATATATGACAGACACTGTGTGTGTGTGTGTGTGTGTGTGTGTGTGTGTGATGGTTCCCAGTAGTTAATTTCTCTGGTGTGCGCGCGCGGTGTGTGCATGCCGTGCGTGCTGTGCGTGCGTGCGTGTGTGTTACATTATATGTGTGTGAGAGTAAGCTTGTATGTCGTGTGTGTGTGTGTGTGTGTGTGTGTGAAGGGAATGGGTTCCCAGTAGTTAATTTCTCTGGAACTGCTGGTCTGCTTGCCTATTGATCCTGCTTATCAGTTCCACTTGCACTTCAGTCAGCTGACTTCAGTTCATGTGCTGGAGGAGGAAATTAGTGACACAGTCTGCAGCATGGATATGGATAATTTTTTTATTCTTATTCATGTGCAAATTGCATTCATGACAGAAACAACTGCATATGCTGCTAACACAACTGTAGCTCTTTGCAAGCATCTGCACAGACAGCATGCTAACGCCAACCTAAACAAGGATACAGACAGATTTTAATGCTCAGCAAATGCAAACCCAGCCCTGAAGCCACACTCTGATCTTCAACAGGTAACAAACAGCTGAGCAGTCAGGCTGCAGCCTCTGTCTCTACCTGTTAATGTTTTTAAAGTAGCTTTGCTTTGTGTTGTCAGCTTATTTTTTATAAATAAATACAAAGAGAAAGATCATATGTGCGTCCTCATTAGGATAGGGACTTGTGTTTATGTGGAATTGTAGCCTATAGGTAGCTTGGTAGCACAGTCTTTCACATTGATATTTCACAGCAAGAAGGTCCACAAAAGAAGATGGCCACAAATGACCATGTGCTAGGTGAATGCCTCAGGCAGCAAACACCTGAAAACAAAGAGCACTAAGAAGACAGGCCCCTGCACACCATGTCCACAGGCAGATAGAAGCTATGGCTGATATCTGCCCTACCAATGGCTGGACAAAGCTGGACTGACAGACTGCACATAGGCACTGGTCATGGCTGCACAGGAGCAAGCTCTAAGCACAAGATCAGCAGAGCCATAGCAGGCAAAATGCCCCTCAGAAAGCCCAACACATAAAAACAAGGAGCAAGATGCCAGCAGGCGGTCATACATGGAATGCCATAGCAATGCCCTAAGTGCTCTGATTACCACAGAGACCACTGTTGCCTTCACCTTCCACACCCTCTGGAGCACCTCTTTCATCCCTTCGTAATTCTTGAGCTGCTCGGGTTCCCTCTTCTGTCAAGGTCTGAGTGAACGGCTGAGGTGGAGTCCTGGCCATCTCCACTCACTTGTCCGTCAGCTACCTATGGTGGTGACCAGGCCTCAAGCTCCTTGTGTACTCTCGGACTCGATTGTGTACTTCCCTCATTTCCTTTGCCAACACCTCTCACCATGTCACCATTCAACTTTGTGAGTCGTGTGTGTTTGTGTCCATGTCTAATGTATCATCAAATGCATGAATTTGTGTAGGTCTGCCACTAAAAGCAGTTGTGTTCAAGCATAGTTCTTGAGATCACAGTGAAAACTGTTGGGTCTGTACATGGTAGTGAAATTCTAACAATTTGATTTAAGTTTAAGAAAATGTGTTTTTAAAGTTTATTAACATAAATAAATGGAACCAAAACAAACAACACTTTCAAACTATCAAACCAATTCAAAACATCAAAATGAAAAAATTAGCTGCTATTAAAACTTTGCACGTCTCATCTCCATCCAAGATCTGATTATTTTCAGGATGCTGTCCAAAGTCAATGTTGTCAGCCCTCACTTTTCTCTGTTCCTTAGCAATTTCACTTTGAACCCCACTGTGCAGGCTGTGAAATTCCTGCCACAGAAGCCACAGTATGTTGAAAAGAACCTGAAGTCAAAAATTGAAGAGTTGAAAGAAGTTTTGTTGTCGCTGGTATTGCGTGGCTCCTTTAGGTTGAAAGTTCCAAGTCATCTCCGAGTTCTCTAAAATCTCATGCCGTACCTTCACTATGCAGCAATAACTGCTGCAATATCAAGGCCAAAAATGAGACGTGCGTTGGTAGCAATAAAGTGCCTATTGTGAATGTTAGTAAATCTGTTTGTGCGCTTGATTTAAATATTCCCCTCCCTATATTTCCCTATATTGAGAAAATACATTAATACCCCATTAGTTATTATTATTATTATCTCTTTTCCAGCGGGCAACAAGCTTTCCTCTCACTGAAGCCAGCAGTTATTCAAATGACCACTCAATAGAGTCAAGGTATACAGAAGAGCATCTCTGACTGCACCAGCAAAAACTACACTGATTGCCACTCATGTCAGCTAAGAACAAGAAACTGGAGCTACAATTCACATAAGCTCATCAAAGAATAGTGCGCTGTGTGTTCAGGGATGCTCTTCTGGATACTTTCGTTGGCTTCCTATCAAGTCTAGGCAGTCTGGCCTGACCTCTGGCATCAGCACACTTTCACCCAGATAACTGCTGTTCACTGGATATTTTCTCCTTTTCAGAACAGTCTCTGCAAACCCCAGAGATGTTTGTGCAAGAAATTCCCAGTAGATAAGCAGTTTCTGAAATACTCAGAGTTTGAATTTCAGCAGGTTTTCTTGAACATGTATAAATACCTAAATCGTTGTCCGGCTGTGTTTCAACTAATGAACAGCAAGTGTTCCTAATAAAGTGAACATTTCACAAGAAATTGTCCTAAAACTCTTACTAGTGATAGATGCTGAAGATTTGTGTGTAAAAGATCATGACTATAGTTCAGATTAAAGTCCATAATAGAGCATGATAGTATAATACATAATAATAATAATATGCTACATGGGTTATGAAGTCTTGGCTTCATTTTTGTGATTGATAAGACAGAATCAGGAAGCAAATGAGGTGGAATATGTTATCATTTCTTTCGTCATCAAGTCTGTGTTTCTGCTCTTTCAGACTAAAACACCATCCCGGATAGAATCTAAGCAGGCTCAGTAGTCTGGCCTCCCATAAAAGCAGTCAAATGCACATGTTTCAAGACAAAATTGTTTTAGTGTTGATCAGTGTGTTAGTGTTAGTCTAGCCTGAGTGACTCTAGACTGTGGGAAGATGTAATAATATGTTCTGGGTTTTTATTTTAAATATGTAATGCAAAAAGCAATAAATCTCCATTTTCAGGTGTATGTGGGAATGTATTTATTGAATTATTGTATTTATTAAATGTTGCAACATGGATGAGTAATGTCACTGCATGGTCATACACATGAACACTAATGTAACCTTTAACCTGAAAAAACGTCAATAAAGTCTGAAAAGACCACTTCTTTCACGCCATTACACCATTAGCTCTGTGCCATTGTTTTCCCTCAACCCTGCAGACTCAAATGACATCACTTGCAGCAAATGTAGGATTTAATGAGACCACCACACACGAACACACACCAAATAATAACATTTATGAACATTTAGACAATACTTTAAAGAAAGTTACAAAAACTTCGTGGTTTACTGCTTCTAACAAATATTACACGGGCTGTTTACCAGAGTATAACAAGCGATTAACAAACATCCCTTTTTGATGTATTCAGCCAGACTCCTTGGATATCCCAGCAGGAGGAAGAGAGCGGGAGAAGGTGAGGAAAAAAGTAGTAGTAGTAAGGGGAGGAGGAGGAAGAGGACGGTCGGTGTCTGTTCCACTTGAATGGCCGAAGCAGTGAGGAGGCTGGTCGGTAGGGGAGACAGACAAGACAGCGCTCTCTCTCTCCCTCTCTGTCTCTCTCTCTTTCCTCTTCCTTCTCTGGCTTTCCACTCCGCCGCGTGTGCGTGCGTCCCGCTCCGCTCCAGCACGGTTCGAGTACAGGCAGGGAGGGAGGGGAGACTTGACGCATCGGAGTGAGCGAGCAGCACACAGAGGCTTTCCACTTTCCAATATGCAACCCGCGAGACGCCACACCGTCAGCTACTCGTGCTACTGACACTCAGAGACAGAGAGAGAGGGGCAGGGAGGCAGGGATGGAGACACAGTAGTGCCGCACAGACGAGAAGAGCGCAGTGATAACACAAAAGAAGGGAGCAGCGTCTTTTGCGCACAACTCAGACGGGGAGGCTATCTATTTTTGGCCGGGAGCGTCGCCGAGACTTGACTGTGATGTGTGTACGCACAGTTTTGTTTAGTGACAAAATACGGATTAATCTGCGGCCGTGAATTATTGGAGATATCACTTCTGCGAGGAAAGGTAAGATGTGCGGTTAATAAGAGTGGGAGCAGTTGTAGTAGTAGTACAAGTAGTAGTGTGTTCTTTTTTACTTGGTTACTTCAGCATTTGTCAAGTTAAACCTCCAGCAGCCCAGCTGCTGAGCTCCCGAGCTGTGAGTGGGAGCTCAGAAACAAACAGATCCCGCTCCGCATCCCAACTTTTCCCAGATTACATTAAAGCCCTGACGCTGTGTTACGGGATGCGGCGGGGCGGGATTGCCTTCTCTGAATTTCACCCTCTGCTGATCTCATTTGCCTGTCTACTTTGTTGTGGGACTATCATGGTGGAAGTGAAAGTAATCTGCGCGCGTGTGTGTGTGAGCGTCTCTCTGATCGGTGCAGATGTTTAGTAATCCTCCAGCGTTGACCCGCCCTTCAATAATCCCTGCGGATTTGGGGCTGATTACGCCGCCGCCTCCGTTGCCGTTGCTGCTGCTGACCACCTACGGAGGCCCCCAGGAATCCGTCTAAGTCATGTACACAGCGAAATTAAGGAAAAGGAGACGTTTTCTTAGAATCACCTTTGAATACCACAGGTATTTTAGGGGGCGGGAACACCCACTTTAATTTACGCACCTTTTGAGGATTTCCACTGAAGTGACCAGGAACAAAGATGTTTTCATTCTAGTCCCTGTCATGTGGTCACTTTGTTGTCTCATCATGTAGTGAATCAGCCTTTATGTCACTGTATCTCTAATGGTTTCAATCAGGGCATCTGCCAGTCACTACATAAGCTGTATGTGGGCAGCCTGTGCAGGGCCTGGAGTCTACAATGGCCAGTAAATGCCATATAAACCCAGTTTAATATGTTTAATAGATGTGGACATTGTGCGTTTTCAGCACATCTGACATGCCAAACCGAAACTGCTCTTCCAAATGATAACTGAACGGGATTCTGTTAGTTTTCCATCCTCAGAAAAAGAACCTGAAATTAATGCAGGCACCAGGAGGAGGAAATGTGTTAATATAATGTTAACACCAGGCAGGGCAAGACAATGTGCTGCACACGAGCATCAATCCGCTGGCGTGCCTACCTACATTGTTCATTCAGCATTAGGTTTTTATGTCTGACTGAGCAGCTCCAGTGACTCTCTGTGTGTAATCTGTTGCACAGGCTTGTCATCCACCTTGACAAGCGCTGAACTTATTCTAAAGGTCAGCAGCGAGAAAAAGGAGAAATACTTCTCTTTCAAAAGGGTTGAGGACTGGGGATTATTCCTCAGCTCAGTTTTATTTCTTGAACAGCATTGCACGGTATCGCCTCGGAACCTCAAAACGGAGAACAGAGACCCTCCTGAGAATCCAAGCATAAATATTTAAGAGTGTTAAAAAAGATTGTGCGTGTAATTTAACTACCAAATGGCCTAAAACTTTTCATACAAAGACGCATAATTATACAGAGGCAAACTGAAGCACAATTAGCAGCCCGTTGGCTTCAGCTCATGACACACAAACGTTAATGATAATTGCTGCGCTTGACTGATATTTCCCTGCCTGCCTGATGCGGCCAAGGCGGTCCAGATGCAGGCCCGCACTGAAAAAAGAAAACACAGCACTTTAATGGTTGGCGGCGGCATGAAAACCAACAAGCCTGTCAGAACTGCCAAGGCGCAGAAGTGACATTAAAAATACCCCGGGATAGGTGCATTTAGAGGCCTGGCATAAAAATTTCATTGCATGGTTTCCTCGGGAAAGTATCGCAGAAATGTGTCATCAAGGTCATTTTTATTTCATGCCTCTTCGGGAAAGCTAGCCGAAGGAACGGAACAGAAGATAAAGAGAATGCGTGAGTCTGAATGTGTGCAGATATGTCACAGGACATCCTGAAAGTACAAACATTACAGCTGTAGTCTCTGTGAGAGGCAGAAGCTGGGTGGGAGTTGGTGAGGCTGCGCATAATGAGACTTGTTGCTCGCTCCTACAGTTTGCTGTGTAATCTGCAGTGACGTATGGCTGTTAATGACCGTGAAGTTCTGCAGATGTATTTTCCAAGCCACTTCTTCTCCTGGCCACGGGATGCTTGCCTTCCTTTATGTTTCGAGGTGTTTGATGGGCTAAAACACAGAGAAGAGGGAGTTAGTTGTACCGTTATTATAGTTTTTTTAAGTTCTTCTTAGTTTTTGTTTCATTTTGAATTTTTGTTGTTAATTATTTGTCATTTCAGTAAATTTCCAGAGTTGGTTTGCTCGTTTCTGATTAGTTTTTATAGTTTTAGTTTAGTTTGTACAAGTTAAGTAAGTAAGTATTGATTATTATTACTTATTATTTAATTTATGGCAAATGTCAGAGGCAAAAGTTGGAAAATCAGTACAGATATTAAAACATTAACAGAACCTTTTTTAAGCAGTTGATTTACAAGTGCAATAAAAACATCCATCAAACCCTCATCAGGCAGTTTTTGATAACTAATTTAACCCAATTAACAAATACCAAGGCTTCAGATATTTTCTTTATTATTTTATTTTAGCCTGTTTTCTAAGTTCATTTTTTCTCCAAGGTCCAGTTTTTATTTTTTATTTTGGTTCACTAAAATAAATCTAGTTTTACTATTTAGTTTAGCTTTAACTATGACAACTAATGGTAATTATTACTATATATATGTAAAAATGCAGAAAATTCTCAGGTTTCCACGTCTCCAGTGTGGAGAGTATACACTTTTATTTATTGCAAAGTCAGTTTAATTTGTTTGTATGTTTTTGTTTGTATTGCAGGTGTTGAATCATTTTTTTGAAGTAATATGAAAACAGACAGAAGGAAGGAAAAAAACCCGTCGCATTTTCAGGCTCAATCGGATATTTTTAGTCGTTTTGTTCTCCCAACAATCCAACGTGAAAATATAATCAATTTACTGAATATAAGAAAAGAAATCTAAGAAGTCGGAAATTCTGAATGATACAATTTTTTTTTGCAATGAGAAAAATTTGCTTCTGTTTCACTTCTTTCTTACATTTCATAGAGTAGATTTTAATATATTTCCTAATTGTCAGCTGAAGCTGTAAACCTTACGGGGTCCTGACGTTTCCATATTGAGAATCACGGCTGTTTAGTATCTGCCGTTTGATCTCTCTTGTCCCTTTTTATAAGCTTTCTAATACACGCTATAATATTTGTCATAACTATTTGCACCCACCCCGCTGATCACACGTATGCTCAGTAACAAACAGTAAATAAAAACACGCCTGGTGTCAGTTGTTTAGCATGGCTGCTTTTCAGCTTCACTCTGCTGGATTTTCAAAGCAAACAGCACCGTGAGATTTTTTTCCACAGCACCATAATGGATGAGGAAGCTGCAGGCCCCTGATACTACTTTACCAGAGTGTGGTGCGGTTTTATGTATGCCATGCATTACTTGTTTGGAATAATAGAGTTGTTTGACAAAGGTGCTGCGAGTGTTGGGGAAAAATAATAATAAAAAATCTCGCCTGCCAAGCAGCATCCTGGAAAATTACATGTTTATTCCTCAGCCAAACTCTTAAAAAGGTACGATAGTTGTGATTAGGCTGTATTCCAGGAATGTCAGCGCACCATCGGGCAGATACTGAAAAGATGAATTCTGTTTTCAGTGTATGAAAGTGAAAGCGCTTTATGGAGTCAGCACAGAATGAAAGGGAAAGCGATGCAAGGACCTCACAGTGAGGCTAGCATACAGTTTTGTGCATTTTGTTCTCGCTGTTTGGAACAGCTGCTGAAAAATACAATTACTGCCAAAACAAAAAGGCACCTCAAAAGCAGCGTCTCCAAATGAGTTGCCTTCAGTTTGATGTTTTCCTGCACACCACAAGCTGGTTTCATTGAAACAAATCTTTCATCTGCGTGGACTTACATATAAAATCATCCATCTGCCGCTGATAAAAAAATTGTTGCATAATTTAGCCAAAGCAAGTTCATGAATAAGTCTGATTTACACAACAAAATACGTCCCCTTTGTACAACTGCGCGCACACTTCTGTGCATTGTCAGGACTAAGTACAATTGAGTATATAGCAGAGCTCTTCATTAACGTTAGGCATCCCGTCTCTGTGTTCACTTTCATTTTACAAAATCTTGAAAGAAGGCTAAGTGACACAGCTTATGCTCCAGCTCTATTTATTCGGTCTCATTGGTTCTGTAAAATGCCCTATTTGTAATCCAATCATATTAGAATAATTTCCCTGGTTTGGCTATGCTTTATGATGATCTGTCACTTCTAGGCCTCCGGTTTCAAGGCACCGCACTCCTCTGGGGTGACTCTTCACAGACTGTCTGCGCGAGCAATGTTTCCTAGTTCAAACATTGTTGCGCACTGCCTCTCCTTGGGAATGGCTTTAATTGAGTGCTTAATAAGAGCAACGCCACACAGCAACCAACTTCGGTGGGGGGGTGGGGGAGATCTGAGCACTGGGAATGTTGCATTATTAAACATACTTATATAAGGCCCGCAAACATTTCCTTTCCAAGTATTCTTGGGATGAGGCCAGATTTGCGATTCTTCCTGATGCTACACCTCGTTTGAACGTGCGTGTGCTTTTCAGTAAAGAGCCGCACAAGCACATTCTCAGAGGTAATATTGTGCTCCTCTGGGTGTGGCTGTTGTGTGAGAGACAGCGGTGCTCGCTGATTTAGTATAAGCGCTTGATAAGAACTGTGCTCCCCACGGGGTGTTGTTATTTTGTTTGAATCGACATTAAAGGATTGAATAGAGCGGCTGGGACGACTCAAAAGAATGCAACAAATATACCCGAAACAATGTGTCCCTTTTTATCGATCGATTGATTTTTTTTTCACAGCTTTGTGGACAGAAACACACTGACAGAAAACAAGTGGCATATCTTAAACTGCAGGACTTACATGTAGCGTTTTTGTAAACATTCTCATTTTTTTTTTTAACATCCCTTTAAAATTTATGCAAGGAAACCTGGTCTCTTAGCTCAATCTCTCCCCTGTGAAAAAGTGCATTTTCATGTGTTATTATACCACGGTCTGAGTTACACAAGATCTTTC